AAAAAGTAATAATAATAGAATAATAATAATAAATCGGGTCTGTGTAATTGAGAAGAATATTGCATTGTTTTGGTTTCAACCGGGTAAGGGTGTGTATCTAGTCCACCTAGACAGCTATTTCTCAGTCCAAACCTTAGTTCAGATCTTACACTAGGGTAGGCTCTGATTATCATAATGCTTTTTTGTCAGTGAGGAGTGAAAGTTTTCACTAAATAGCTGAGTTTCAAGTTCAGGATCTCCGTATACTTGTTTATCTGTATAAATATGTTTCCTCCCCTCGATTTTGAACGTTCAAGTTTATTTCGAAGGAGTTTAATAAGTGCAGAGTAGTCACCGTCAAGTTCTATGGTACGGTTTTCCTGTGCGATTGTTTCTTGTGTACGCAGTGTCTCTTTCCGGACAAATATTTCTGTTACCGTAACTACACAGGAAATTTCATTAAGGATGTGGAATACGGTGCAATGTCTTCAGAGACGTCTTCGTGTACGGGCCTGTATATACAGATCTTTAGAAAACGTAGATCTCCAGTATTCTAAAGGTTCAATTTTGTCAAAGATAATACTGAATTTGTCATAGATTATGTTAGTTAGTCTATCGGAATTGTTTACACTAAAGGTTCCCCGATGTGTGCTTCATAGGCAACTTTGGAATTTTTCTCAATCAGCCTTGTGGTATTTTTAAAAACACCACAAGTATTCTGAGTTTGACAACGCCTTATTTAGTAATACCTTTATAATCGAACCATAGTAACCCAGTCAAATCAGAAGTCAGGAGTGAAAGAGTTTGATGATAGATTTGGAAGGATATTGGCATGTTGAAGGAATGCATAGCACGGCGTATCCACTCGTGATCTGGTGTAGATGCTTGACCGAATACCTTCAGCTACTTGAGTCCAGTCAAACTAATCAGATAAGCATCAAATTTCGAAGACTTACAATGCTATTAATTCAAGGGATTTGTTTACCACGACAGTGTTGGGATATTCAGGGAAATATCCCAAAAATTATCCTGTTAAGCCTAATGCTATCCTTGGACATAAAATGGTATCATCTTATTGGTCAATATTTGTTTAACGTGTCATTTTCCTACTGGCCATTATTGTACAATGTTATCTTCTATTTTATGGTACGTTGTGGACTGCTTGACTGGTATATAAACAAAGTATGTTTGAAATATAATGATTCATATATCCGAGGCTGTGACTTGCGTTCTGGACTCAATTGGCTGGGCTATACAGGGAAGCGAGACCAATCAGAACCCTAGGTCGTTCTACGTGTTTGCGCGTCTTTGGTCCGATCAATAATTCGCTATCCCTTAATCAGCAATTATTTTTCACGTTATAACAGACAGTTTCTACGATGTATGACACCTTTACGTTTACCGGCTGTGGTTTTGATGTCAAGCCTACAGATGAAATCATTATGGTCGCTACCTGGAAACGCTTTTGTAATTATACAGTATTATGATGTGACCACTGACAAAAGTTAAGTTCAAGATATTTTGATGTTTGATAGGGCTACTGACATACTGAGTCCAATGTTCAAGCTCTAGACATTCGACGAATGATTCAAAACTTTTCATTGCTTTGACTGGAAATTGAGAAATTCCAGGCGTGTTGAACATCACACAAATAAGCTTGCTTGTGAATGTTATGGACGGGACTAGTAAGGATGTCTCTGATAGTATTGCTATTTCAAACGTTAATACGTTTGGCTAAGGGTAGACACGGTCGAACAGTAAGGAAACTGAATAATCCACAACGAATCATGCAGTTTGCTCGATCCTGGCATATCACGTAATAGTGAAGTTGGTAAGGTTTTAAGTCCAAAGTGACTTTTACGTTTTTATATGGAATCAAAGAGTTAGTATTTTTACAGACTAATAAACAGTTTGGTATCGCTAAAACAGTTAATATTAGATAGGAATTTGCATGTTCCTTTATCCCATTTTTTCTAAGACGTTGAACTTGGCAGCCGAGTTTCAGTATACCACATTTTCGAAGGCGAACACCCCCTAGCTTGTGCAGTGATATTGGTTCCTAACCACACGATCTTCAAAACTGAGTATATGAGTACTGAAAGTTTTTACATTCAACATGTGACATTTGGAGGAGGCTGGAAATGGTGAATGGGGGAACAATCATTAGGTATGGAATGGCTCAGCTTTGCAGGCATGGTTATTTCGTATAAAATACACCACCCCATGTTGAATATATCATTTTATCACCGGCCGAAATGTGTTCCTAAGAAGTACTGAGCATCGTACTGCTGACTATCACCATAGGACGACCAAGTTTAGACAATGATCTGACTCTCACGTAAGATATTATGAACTGTGTAATCACATCATGACATCCACCATTTTGGAATTAGTTCGATTATTAAAGTGATACTAATGCTGAATTAGACAATAATTCTAAAATTTTACTCAACTGGATTATGGAAAGATATTACTCGTTACTTCTTCAGATAAAAAAATCTGAGATACACTCAGCTGTAATTAGTGGTTCAAGGTTTTTGACACTAGAAGCGACCCACATATGCAAGGGAGATATTAACTGGTCACGTTTACGATTAATTTTGGCGAAAGAGCTTCGTAGCTGAAGGATATCAGCACTATAGTGATCAGTATTTTGGTTTGTATGAGGTAAAGTTTTCGAAATTCTGGGTTTTGGCCTTAATAGATCTTGCTAACGGGTACACTACAATGATTTTTCGGTGTACCAGCGTATAATATATTTCCATCGCCCAGTCCTACCGTCAGCCTAACACCTGAGGAGATGAATGTGTCGTCATGCGGAAAATTAGGCAGTGATAGTGAAATTTATGGATAGGAAGCGAGGTGTTCGGAAGATGAAGGGGTTGATTTTATCAAACACTGACTCGTCGGATATAGGGATTACAGATTTCGACTTCGGGTCGGCTCAGAAGAATTAGGTCATATTTCTCTCTCATTGAAATTACTATTGAAGAATTGTAGCGGTAAACAAATTCCCAAAATAAATAGCTCTGTAAGTTTTCGACATTGGATGCTGACCCCATTAGTTTTAGTAGACTCACCTAACCGAAGGCGCTCGGTCATGCATTCGCACCAGGTCACTAGTGGGAACGCCATGCTCAACAACCCCTGCAATCGCTAACCAGATTAGATCAGACGATCCACGATATATTGATAGCCTATCTTCGAACCTCCTCGCTTCTGTCTTTTGATTTCACTTGATGGGTACGATTCATATTAGATGTTACCGGTAAGAGCGTTGTCAAACTCCAAATACCTGTGGCATCGTCAGACTGAGGGCTGAGAGAGTAAAGAGTTTGTTTACCAGATGGAAAATGAGAACTTATATTTACTAAGTATTAACTGGAGTAATGCAATATGCGTGACTGTGTGTATATGAATGATTCAAGAGATTAGGTGTCAAGTTATTAAGAACGAAAGTAACGTTCAGTTGAGTATTCATGTTTCAATCAGTTTAATCAGAAGGTAGAAACCAGTTAATATTGATTATTGAGGACTTATATAAAATATTTTGAAAAGTTCACGATGAGTATGAATTAATTGGTAGATGACCTTCAGACTCCACCTCACATGTATGAAATGAACTTGATATACAATGAAAAATTTGATAATCTCAGTATAATACATTTTACAGATTAACTCGGCAGAAAAGAATGCATACCACGTGAGAACGTTTTACCGCTTTCAGAGTCCGCTCTTAAGCAACTTCATCATTAATTCTTTTGCGTACGATCTGGTAATTCTGCACTGAAAGATTTTATTTCGTCTCCTCTATGGATCCTGGCATCATATTTTCAACCACAGAATCGAACTTGGACACCACTATATGTGATATTTGGGGCATTTGTTTCTACCAGCACAAAAGAGCTCACACGAAAATCCATTAGAACGTTTTCGTATGATTCGCTACTAGAAACAAAACTGACGACACCTCTCTATGAATATTTCAAAGAAGGCTATACATTTAATTCGTTTCTCAAGTCGCCATAACTATTTGCCATTTGAAAATACTTTTCCTATTGGACCTTTATAATCAAAACATACAAAACCAGCCAAATTATGGGTAAGGAATACAAAAGTTAGAAGATATATTTGGGAAGTTATCGGTTTGTTAAGAAGCGTTTGTTGCAAGGATTGAGAAGCATAGAATACTTTATGGTGATCTGGTGGTGCATAAACGAGAGCTTTCAACAAGTGTATTTCCAGTAAAACTAACGAGGTTAGCATCAATGTTGAGGACTTGCTGAACCATTTATTTTGCTATGTTTCCTTAGGTACTAAAATAAAAAATTCTAGGTGTCACTTTTCAACAATCCCACCAATTAATGATCAAAGCTCTTTTCTTCAGACCTAGAATAAGCACGGGAAGAATTATATCTCTCTGAGATCATCAAGACTCCATAACTAACCAGACGCAGATCTCAAGAAACAGACAATACGTTGTCTGTCCAGAATACTAGTAAGTTTTTCAGCACTAGAACCATAAAAAAGCATTAAAAACTTTTGCAAACTGCATGTAGATCTCACGAATCAATTAGTTGACTAATTCAATTCCACAGTTTGTAGTTTGTCTCATCCTATGAATCACATAAAAGACCTTGAAGTGTTCATTAACGCATGTTGGTAATTTAAATAACACTCTTAGCGTCACAGTTGTTAGGTTGTCTTAATCTCACGCTTGTGTTATTGCTGTTTAGTGTCGATTGCCTTTATAAATAATTGTAAGCGTTTTTTATATGCTTATTGTTCCACCAGTTCAATTTTCGTCTTGTTTTTTCTGTTCTAGTTTCTTCTACACACTACTCTCCACAACTACTCAGTACACAACCTATCAAAAATTGCAAATTTCACCAGATGGCCATTTCACCTCGTCTTATTGAATATGGTTTGAAAGCTGCTGGGATTGTCACTGCTGTTTGTATGTTTCCGATTACTATACGCGTATGTAGCTTTTAGTATGCTTTTCAATGGGAGTTGTTTGCATGATCTCAATATCAGCGCAGTGCATTATTGGTGGACTTTTCCTAATGTTAGTTTTATTTCAAGCCAGTGTTGTGTTTTTATCATCGTTAAATTATTGCTCAATTCATTCTGTAGTTTAATTCCATAAAGATATCACACTGTAGTATGGGGAGATTCTAGTTTTGACCAGGACCTAATATTAAGTGAGTGATCCGAACAATCACAGTACATGTTCTCGGCCTGTATTCTTCGTTTATTTTTGTTGGTTATCACTTCTCGTGAGTTAGGCACTTGAGGCGGTTAACAATTTATGTAATGCTTCTAAGCTGGAATTATCTTGGTTTTATCACAATTCCAGTTACATACTTCGAGATCGATGATAACCTGAGGTTTTGTTCTCCTTGAGTGTTGAACTATGTTGTATTAGTAGGCTTTATTATGCTTCTGTCTTCATGGTTAAGCTCTTTGCTAAGACTGAACATTGTAAGTTTTCCTTGTACAGAGAATCTACTGTTAATATACTCGTCTCTAGCTCGATGCTAACCGTCTAGCATGTTCTACGTGATGTCTCTATGTATTTACTCGAAGTTATGGTTTTGGTAGAAAGTATTCTGGGGTTTTCGTCACTTTATTTTATTAGCTTCATCCGATTTGACCTTTTATGAGAATAAACGTTACTGAAATTGCCCCAAAGTTTGCCAGACGCTAGGCTATTCATCAAAGTTCTCAATATCTTACGGTGTGCCTCTAACTTTAGAGTGCAAGTAATTCTTAGAGGTGATCTTAACACATTTGTCTGAATCATAATGCGATATAACTGGATATGTGAACCTTTGCCTAAAAGCACTATCCACCTTTTGAGCTAAAGAAGCTCGACTCAATCTAATTACGTTTATGACATTTCTGAAGTATGCTGAGTAAAATATACTGGCTAAGTCTTCATTAACCTTCATGATTACACAGTGACGTTCAGATATTTGTAAATCTGGACACGTAGGATTGGAAAGATTATCAATTTTAAGGAAACGATCACATAAAATAGCATACTTAGCATCCAGTAGTAGCACATCACTCTATCAAGCTTTCTGGATGAAGTCATCTTTAAACTTCCAAAACTGACAACCAAGTGTACCGAAAAAAATATGGTTAACATTTTATTTGACATGAAAAAGTGGATATTTGTAATATATTTATTTAATCTGATAATTATGACATATGTCGAGGTCTTGAATTTAATTTCTTTTGTAAACGTATCGTCACAGACTTCGTAACTATACAGTGAACAAATTACTCCTGGTTTTGAAAATTGTACATACTTCCACTGTTTTTACTTTCAGTTTTCATGATAACTTTCAATCTTGCCTTTTTTTCTGTTAATTTTCTAAAGTTTAATTGGTATAGTCGTCATAATATTTGAGGCCCCAATATGTTGTTCCATGATACCTCAATTGCATAAATTCAATGAATTCATTGAAAAACGATCCCCAATTGAAAAGTCGATTTTCTATGGAATGTAAGTAAATATACTTCGTAATTGCTATTTTCATTTTAGTGCAGCCATTTTACCAATGAGTTTATGTTTTGGAATTTCTACACTTTTTTGTGGATTAGCTTTAGCTGGATGTTGTGCATTTAATGTCTGGAGGATTTTTAAGGAAAGGTTAGTTTAGTTTATTTACTTTCACATCTATATTTACAAAGTTTCATGTCAAGTTAGTAGCTGATTTATTTGATCATAATACTGATATTTCTAACCTAAAATTCATTCCTGTTTAGATAGTGAGATAGTAACTGCCTTTAGATAATAAGCATGATTGACACCACTAAAAGTTTGTCTGTGTTTGTGAGTCACACCCACTCTTCTGTCATTTTATTGTCTCTAATACTTTAGTTTGGTCAGGCAGATGAGAAATATGCTTCATGTAGTATGCAGGTGTTTTTATACTTATAGTAGCGATCTATTAGTCCAGATTATTGTTTATGCTCATGCTTGTCTAATTTATGAGTAATGTGTAAGATCAACATTGAGTTTTAACATAATCCAATCACACCGGGATTAATCACAAGCTGTTATTGATCACAGGTCGATTAAGCCACCTACTTTTCTTAACAGACATTTCACTTAACTATACTAAGTGCTGTTTTAGCAATTTCTAAAAAGTATAATTAGTTTTTGGAAGTAAATCTCAATTAGGTCGACAAAATAGAACTGATTTTCATTCTGAAAAATGTATAGACAATATTTTACTCACTTAGGCCATTCGTTTGGTAAGGAATAAAACTGGACTTCAGTCTTTTATTACTGTATCGCTGGTGTATTTATAACCGTTAGTAGGTATATTTCACATACATTTATATACAGTTATCATATATGTAATAGATATTAATCTAAACTTATCCCAACATTAACAATCATTGGTTCCAACCGAAGTTACCACTTTATCTGTAATATGTAATTCTTTGGTCCCTGATTGGTGTATGGATGATTACATTTATGGAACAAACTGCAGATTAATGTATGTTAACATAGAATATTCACGTCTTTTAAATGTGATTTCCATTCGTTTATAAATTAATAGTTTTCTGCTCTCATTCTACTGTGTATACAAAACATCTTGTTCTAGACGCAGTGGACAAGCAAATCCAGTTGGCGTTGGTTCTGAACATCATACTCAATACGCTGCAGGTGAATCACAACCTCCAACATTTCAAGGTGGATATGGTGAGCAACCAGGATTTCGGGATCATTTAATCGAAAAAGCTGCTGTCGGTGCAGTAAAAGGTGTGATTGGTGGTCCGGGCAGTGGTGGTTATCCAGGAACGGGTTATTCGGGTACTTAGTTATTCTTTTGAATCAGTTGGTTACCATTTATCTCTTTCCAAGATAATAATTACGTTTTGTGCTTTCGTTTTCTATCATGCAAATGAGTTACATTCCATTTATGCTTTCTTTGTATTATTATCTTATAAATGGCGATATATATATATATATATATATATATATATATATATATATATATATATATATATAAAGTGGCATTTATTGTAGTCGTTTGTTTTGCATTACATCTATTTAATTGTATTTTATGATACTTAACTCTACTATATTGTTTATCAAAATACCACACTTGTTTTCGAATCTCAATTTAACTAAGTGATACTTTGTTATTGTCAACTTTTTTCATTTCTATAACTATTCTAATTGTCGTAAATTGACTACTTCAATGATTATTTTCATTAAAAAATCAAAAGATTGTTCAGGAGAATTGTCGTTAAAGGGTCACTCCAAAGCTTAGTATCTTTCACTAAATTGTCGATGAAATTCTACGAATAAGATATGGATAGTTGTACATCAACTTATTTGACGTTCTATAATTTGTCGACAGTTTTGTGGATGATATCATATTAAAAGAGACTACCTATCGATCTATTTTTGCGGCACGTGATATTATTATTGATATATTTGTTTGTATGTTTTAAATGACTTATTTCCATACAGGATTATTTATATCATTGCGCTCTAAGAACTATTTGTCTTCGTCTTTTTGTGTCTATCAGTGTTTCACACACGTTTATTGTCAAATCTATGCTTTGGCCGAAACTGTCATTGTTAGAATTACTTTTACCACCACTACTATTAATTGTATTGTGATTGCTTTCCTCATTAAAAACATTTCTTTGAAAATTATCATTATTTGAGCTTATTCTAATCTATTAGAAATGTATGTGTACTGCTAGCCATACTATGCTGTAATGCTTCTTATGACAGTGTACCAGTGGTGTAGTAGCTCAGTTTTTCTGTAATGAATATTTTATAAATAGCTTGGCAAGTAATATTCAGTATTTCAAAAGTACACAGTGGTCTTTACTGATGCTCTTAAAAGTATCGTATATTCACTTACTGAGAGTGATAAAATGGATCTAAATTCTATTTGGTTCACGTTTCACACATCTATTAAACTAATCTACATAATAAATGCAACCCAGGCTTTTTATGTTTCTTTGATTTGTACTGGTGTAAAATATAATACGACATGCAAAGTCTTCAGACTTATGATATTGCTATTCTGCTTCCAAATAAAAGTGAGAAACTAAATAGTATTCAGACTTTGATACAATTTTAAACTAAAATTTCTCGGGAAGGTGAGACCCATACCCCCAATTCAGTATTCGAAGTTGCCTTTCCGTCTTACACAATAAACAGAAAACCTAGACTACCTCACTTGTTCCAAAGATGATGTAAGCTTTTGGTTTGTCTGATGAGAGTCGTCAAATGACTGGGATTCGAAACTGTTATAATCTCTTTCTTACGGTTATGACTCAGCTATTCCTATTGCTTAGTATTCTCGGACACCGATTAACTCAGCAAGCCCCCAAATCAGAACACGGTTGAACAGGAAAGAGATTATATTCCAAATAACAAGGTTAGATGGAAGCAAGAAGCACAATAGGGAAAACGTTAGTATATTTATAGTTTTTACATGAGAAGATTCCAGAGTATTCTTCAAGTACCGACTAGTGCTGATTGGATAAGAATTAGTCAATCAGCGTACACCAAAGCAATCGTGCATTGAGCATGCTTTAATCCAGTCTATGTCGCGCTAACAGGAACGTGTTTGACTAATTGACTCATTATTGAGAACAACATTTTAGGATAAAAGAAATACACCCCAAACAATTTTGTATAAATGCTGGTGGGATATAGATTGGATTAGAGGATGTTCCGCTCATGATTGTGTTTGATCACGCTGATTGACCACTTCTTAGCTAATCGGTGCTAGCCGATAATTGAAACATGCTCTAGAATCTTCTGTAAGATTATAAATATGCTAACGTTTTTCTTATAGTGATTTCTACTTCCACTCAACCTTGTTTCATTCGGAATATAATTACGTCCCTGTTCAGTCGTGCTCTGATTTGGGGACTTGTTGAGTGAAACAAGGTATCCGAAGAATACTAAGCAATGAAAGCTGAATGGTAATAAGGGAGATCATAACAATAATCGGTTGATTTGCTCATAAGACTTTGTTTTTCCAGTACCCTAGTTCGATGAATGAGACTAATAGCTAAAATACCTAGAGTCTAAAATGAGAATAATTTATCTTTAAAACCGTATGTATACCAGAACTAAATAAACATAGTGAAAGTAGGAATCCCTGCTTAACACCATGTTACCCGGGATTTTTTAATGGTAGGTTGCTATGAGCTCTGATGATAACAAGTGTCGGATTTTATCTCCCTTTTTGTTTGCTATACCTTTCAACACATCTTTTATTGACGGATATTGTTTCAACTATGTTGATCAACAATGCTAGATACTGCCTTCACTTCTACGGACAACTGGAGTCAGGCGTTTGTTAATGCACCTGCTCCAAGATATATCATGGTTAAACATTTAGCTGATATGTTTATTCCCGAGTTTAAACAAGCTTGGTTTGTTTTGAGATTATCTCTCCTGGGTTACATTTGGTTTTCATGTTATTGTGGAAACTAATATGCTAAACACTACGTAACTCAAAATGATACATATAACAGTGCCATCCTTTGGAATGACTAATGGTTGACATCATTCTAATGGAATAACATTAAGGTTTCTAAATCTTGCTAACAACTAAGCCAAATCATCCACCTTAACCACTGGAGTCAATCTATTAGGATTACTGCTCTCTCATTTAAAATAATTTATAACCTTTCCTACATCCCTGAAAGTTGAAGGTTTGATTTTAACGTCCTATTTAGGTTACCTATAAAACAATTCGAAACCAGTTGAACTACTAAATCCGCTTATACATCTATTATTACTGCCGGTCTCAAGTCCGAATAAAGGAGGGTGGTTGGGCATGGTATCAGTAACCCCACTTCTTAAAAAACAACCTTGCTAAAGAGCACTAATAAAATAAATAATTTAAATCTTTTGAACACTCCCTTTGGAGTTGAAGGGTCTTCATTCAGAAGAATTTTGACAACTCATGAGGAAAGCCGAAGTTCTTTAGCAATCATGAGGTTTGTGCCCCTTCTAACAACCGGAGCAGTAATTAATATAGGTACATGGAATATCCGGATAGTATGGGAGACTAAGAGGATCAGTCAAATCGCTACGGAAATGAGGAGATATAACTTGCCAGTGCTCGGAATAAGTGGAAGCCGTTGGATCCAAGCTGGACAGTAAAGATTATATTCGAGAGAGATGCTGTTGTACTCTGGTCATGAAGAAGAAAATGCAAGGCACACAAGGATTTCCACTGATTCTGTCCAAAGAATCACGAAAAGTACTTATAGGATGCAAACCTCATGGATCTAGGATCATCTAAGCATCATTCAAAACAAAGAAGAAGGGAATCACAATGCATGTTATTCAATGTTATGTATCAACCAATGATAACAACGACAAGGATAAAGATCAGTTTTATGAGAGGCTACAGTCAATCGCAGAGAAATGCATAGGAAAGTACCTGACCATCCTGATGTGAAACTTAAACGCCAAAGTCGGGATGGACAACATCGAGTATGAAGATATCATGGGACGACTAACTGGGAGAAAGAAAAGAGAATGACAAGTGATGTGCAATTTTATGTGCATTCAATAAAATGGTTATAGGTGGCACTTTATTCCCACACAAACGCATTCAAAAAACTACATGGGTCTCACCGGATCACGCTATACAGATTCAGACCAGTCATATTTGTATCGCTAAAAATTTCAGAAGGTCAATGGAAGACGAAAACCTAGAGAGGAGCTGACATAGCTACAGATCACTACCTGATGGTTGCCAGCATGAAACTGAAGATAAGGAATCAATAGACAACTGGAGAAATAGCATTACAAAGTTTCAATACAGCCTTCTTTCAAGATACAAACTAAACCAATTCAAGATAACTCTTGATAACAAGTTCCAAGCCTTATAGGATCTACTGAATGAAGAAACTATTATGGAGGACTATTCGAAAGGGATCAAATAAGTACCAACTTCAACGTGTTAGGAGGTGCTGGGCTGCAACAAGCACCATCATAATGAATGGATCTCTATAAAAACCCTAGACAAGAAAGGAAGAACAAGAAAACAGCAATTAGCAAAGGTCGAACGAGAGCAGAGAAAGTCAAGGCACAGAACGAATACACAAAAAAAACAAGCGAGTGATGACGAGCATTAGAACTGATAGGCAGTAATACGTGGAAGACCTAGCAACGACAGTGGATACAGCTGGAACAGAAGGAAATATGAGACAGATATATGACACAACAAAGAAACTGGTAGGGGAATATGGTAAACCAGAGAAACCGGTCAAGGACAAAGAAGGCAAAACGATCACCGATATTCAAAAACAGTGAAACAGGTAGGTAGAGCGTATTGATCAAATCTTGAATAGACCAGCTCCACTTAACCCACCAGATGTCGAAGCAGCATATACAAACACTCCTACTTATGGCACTTCACTAACAATCGACGAAATAACCACGAAAAATGAAGAGTGGGAGAGTAACATTATCTGAAAATATACCAACTGAAAGGAGACATAGAAGTAGCTGCAAATATGCCCGATGTCCTATTCAGGAAGATTTAGGAGGAAGAACAAGTTCTACAGACACACTACCATCAGCAACCGGTAAAGTTTTCAACAGCGTTGTTGAGTCGAATGGAAGGTTAAGTAAACGCCCAACTTCGAGATTAACAGGCTGTACTCCGTAAGGATCGGTCGCTCACAAACCAAATCGTGACACTCCTGATTATTATTGAACAATCGATTGAATTAAGTTCGTCCTTATACATCAACTTCTTAGTTTATGAGAAAGCATCTGACAGTGTGGGTAGGATAACTTTATACAACATTTTCGACACTATGGTGTAGTTGAGGACGTCATGAACATCGTACAGAACTTATACGATGGAATACAGTGCAAAGTCAAGCATGGAGGACAGCTGAAAGACGCATTCCAAGTGAGGACCGGAGTCAGACAAGGCTGCTTACTCTCTATGTTTCTGTTTCTTCTGTTGGTTGACTGGATTATGAAGATCTTGTAGCAAGCCCATTCAATTATTGTATTATTAGTCTACTCACTGTAATTCAGACACTTAATTCACTATGTTAATTCCTGGGTGTGGATGATTGAGTGCGTGTCTGCACATCAACCTTAATCTATTCTCCTATTGGTTGTAACATACAGATAATCAATAATCTATCCACACTTGATTGACACTGAAAAATATATATGGATTTTTAATTCTCACACCCACACAGTGTGCTTGCTCGCTGTACGCTTGTGGATTTTATTTACCTTTAACAATAAAATATCTCTACGACTGGTATTCAGGCTTCTGAATAATCGCGAGTAAATCTACAATTCTACTAGGAGATTTAGCCTACCTAAAATACTCAGTTAACGGGATATAATTTATTGGAGTCAGATATAGAGGAAACTAGCCTCAACAACCACATATGAGGGAAAGTTTGTAATGCAATGGACAGCTTGGATGGAGTTAGATGATTCGGACTTGGTAGATGACCTGGCTTGTCTATCCCATACACAGCAACAATTGCAGGTCAAGACAGCTAGTGTAGCAGCAGGCTCTGTAGTAGTAGGCTTCAACATACACAATCAAAAATTAATATCTTGAAATTCAACGTACAGAGCACTAACCCAATCACAATTTATGGAGAAGCTCTGGAAATTTTCACGTACCTGGACAGCATCATCGATGAACAAGGAGAGGATCTGATACAGATGTGAATGCAAAGATTGGGAAAGCAAGGGCAGCATCCCAGCCATTAGAAAACATATGGGACTCAAAGCAACTGTAAGCCAACATCAAAGTCAAAATCTTCAGTATGGACGTCAAGATAGCTCCATTCTATAGAAATACTATAACCATCATCATAAAGGTTCAAATATTTACAAACTGTTATCAACTCGAGATACTGAATGTCTATCAACCGGATACCATAAACTAAAACCTAATTTTATAGGGAACAAAACAAGCTCCCAGCTGAAGAGGAAATTAGGAAAAGACGCTGGAGATGGGTAGTGTATACGTTGCGAAAATCAACAAACTGGACCACGTAGCACGCACTAACCTGGAATTCGGAAGGTAAACGGAAAAGAGGAAAGCCGAAGAACACACTGCGTCACGAGTTGGAAGCAGATGTGAAAATGATGAATAGCAACTGGAAAGGTTTGCCCAGAACAATGTTGGTTGGAGTATCCTGGCGAATGGCCCATGCTCCTTCTCGAGTGGTAACAGGCGCAAGTAAGTAAAGTAAGTGATCTCAGTTTCAGTCAGTCATAATCAACATAGAGCGTGACGCATCTGCACCAAGCCGATTAGCCATACCATTTCTTCACAGCGAGAATAAGTTGACGAGATACATGACAAAAGGTTGAGATACTAGTAGTAGCAATAATAGTGAGACAGACTGTTAATTTGAAGAATACTGTTCAAAAAGAATTGTTGGATTCGATTAACAGAGGGTGTTAGATAACACTGTTTCAGTGTTCACTTTAAAATAAAATGTGTGTATATCTGCGCCATTACAACCGGTTTTTAAACCTGATACCCAGCATCTTCAAACATGCAGTCTACCCTTACCAATACGACTCAGTTCAATAGTCAATAACTTCTTGCACTGGTATCAACTGTTGGCTTGGACACTGTTAGCTTCCTCCATTTTACTATATCAGCCAACATTGCACATCGAGGTTGGCGGTGGTCGGGCTTCATAATACATATCCCAGCTACTACTCTTCAAGGCGTTTTTTCTCCATAGTTTCGTTCGTCTGGTTTGTTACTGAGTGGCTGAGCACTTTTAACTAGAACAATTTTGCTACTGGATGCTATTTAACTTGTTTCTTTGAAAAATATTCACTAATTTCTTGTTCCAATGAAAAACGTCACCACTTATTTTCTTCAATTAGAAAGTACTTCACCTTTTCAGTCATAATTTCTTATTGATCCAATTAAAAACAAAATTAGTTTTCTTTCAGTCAATTTTTCTTTTCTACGGTAGTTTATATTCTTATGAATTTTTCATAAAACGTTTAAAAATTCTGTACAAGAAAAGTACTTGTCTAAACTAAATTTTCAATTAAATATTTCTTAATCAAACATAAAATACTTTCAACATGTGATCTGAAAGGTAAACTCAAATTTTTTCCACAATACATCATAATGATATACTGATTAGTACAGTACATATTTTGATTGTACTATAAATAGGAAAGGCGAAAGATTATTGGTCACTTTGTGACACTCATCCCATGTCCTTGAATAATCCTTTGTTAGCATATTATCAACCTAGTTGTATTATCGCATATTTTGCATGTCTTCATCCCCTAATATACATTCAGTCATTTGATCAACGAATCTCTCCAATATATATTCCATCGTGGTTTAAGCTATCGATCTGTGAGCAAGTCATGCTACTGAGTTACTCAATCTTTGCAGTCAAATAATATTTGGAAAACAGAATATCTGACATTTTATTTGGCAACTAGAATCACGGAAATACATTACCAATATCTTTAGACTAATTGATAATATTGAAAACATGAGTCAGTTGAAGCTAGACCACCATTGAAAACCTGGAAGCACTGGACGGCCGTTTCGTCCTAGTATGGGACTCCTCAGCAGTGCGCATCCACGTTGGATGCCGGCTCAGTGGTCTAATGGTTAAGTGCTCGCGCGCGAAGCCAGTAGGCCCTGGGTTCGAGCCCCGCGTGGTGTGGGATCATGGATGCGCACTGCTGAGGAGTCCCATACTGGGACGAAACGGCCGTCCAGTGCTTCCAGGTTTTCAATGGTGGTCTAGCTTCAACTGACTCATGATTTCAATCTGTGAAAATTTCTAAACATCTCCACAAACCCCTTCTGATAAAATCTGTTATTATTGATATGAACTGAAGAACTACTAAAAAATAGAAATTTATCAAGTTAAATCCCAGAGGATCCTAGTAATAGGTATGTAAAGTAAACATAATCAGACTTAAGACATCAGGGTGTTGTAAAGATTATTTCATCATTCCAAAAATTTTTTCATCACTGACAACTCGATTTTTCGCAAAAATTCCATATCATAAATTTGAGACATCCATTTTCCGATTGCTGTAAATGATTTTCTTCCTATTATTTTGCTCATAAGTACACTTCACCGATCAAATAACAAAGTGAGAAATAACCTATCAACTTAATCTACGTTTGTATAAACTCTATCAGTGTTTAAATTTGTATAAAAGATCAACAGTTCGGTGGAGTTATTACAGTACTAGGTACAAAAGAAATTAACGTTTTATAAGTGAGTTCATTGTGATATACAAATTTTTAAAGTTGTTAGTTTACGATAGATTGTCACAACTGAACAAACGGACATCGTCAGACACATACACACGTCTTTCTCTTGTTTTTGGACAACTAGAGATTGCAGAAATATCACTGCAAGGATATATGTAACATTTTCGTATAGAATGATGATAGAGGCGTTTCCATCAATCTATTCAACCTAAATGACGTATACTCAACAAAGACGGTCTTCAGTATAACTATTTTTACAAGCTGAAATTGTATCTTGACATGTACTATACCATAAACTCAACTATCTATCACTGATTTGAAACAAACGGTTTATCACATTTATAAAACAGTAAAGAAATTGGAATGATAGGTATAATTTATAGATTATTAATTTCGTGATTTAATAAATGTATAAACAACATGATATAACCTAATTATTAATTCACATAAAAGGAGAGAGAAAAAAATTTCAAAACATCTAGTCACTTTACCTTACAACATGCTCTAAAAATTTTCATGGCATATAGGTCGATAACATAACAATACAAGAATAATTAATTTTTTGCTTTCACTATCAAATGTAAGTTTACTTGTTACAAATGAATCACAGCATGTTAGAAGTAACAACATACTTTTTATTCTAGAAAGAAATGTGTATTATATGGATGAATTATGCGAAGTTTATCGGCAATACAACTATTAAGAATCAGTTGTATCCATTTAGTTACAGATTTATAGGTGATAATTTGAAGTAGAAACACTAGATTACTTTTAAATTCATAAGGGTGACCTTCAGGTTAAAGCCTATGTAGTCCAGAAAATGAGTTCAACCACTACTTGCTTATGTATATATAAACTGATACTATGAATTTCTGAGTTCTTAGTATTTAGCAGTAAAATCCATCTATAAGCTTCTTCTAAGGACTCTGAACTATCTAGTTATATGTGTTCATATTAACTTCGTAAAGCACAGTTTATAAATGTGTGAATCCGTCGATCAAATTTTAATCAGTCGAGATTTTCAATTATGATTGAATAAAACATTTTGTATAAGTCAATAATACAAGGTCCAATGGTGAGTTTTTCATTGTGACTAAACAATGTCATCTGTGAAAATACAAACAAAACAGGTTATGATAGCTCACTACACAAGTGACTTAACAGCTCGAGTTTGTAAATTCGATATGAAGTAGGCTTTTCTGAGTAGTTATTGTTATATTCCGATGAGAATAATGAATGGTTATTGTTGGAATCTATTTCTGTAATAATAATAATAATATTAAATAACTAAACTATTCATACTCGTGTTCCTCTTATTATAAGCTTTATTTTGACCTATGGACTATTATTATATGGAGAAATTCGAGCACTTCACTTCTACCTGAAGTTTGTGCTGATGATGTCGTTCAGAAGAACGATGAAAGCTCCACGACCAAACCATCCAGCTCAGAGAACAAAACTCCACCAAAACGATTTACCCTTCTTGAGATATGCCCAGTATATAAATTACTATCTCCTACATTCACAGCCACTTTTGGTTAAATCTTGTACAAATGTTATTTTCCATTTTATGGTAAGATGTGGTCTGTTCGGATTGTGTATAAACTCAGTATGTTTGAAATACATGATTTATATCGCAGATTCTGAGATTGGTGTTCTGAACTTAACAGGCTAGATACGAAGCAGGACCGATAAGCACTATAGATTGCTCGTACGGGTTTTATGCGTCATTGGTCCGGTCTATAAATCACTGTCCTCTAATTGGCAGTATCATTACGTTGTACATTGATGGGGATACAAACCCACAAGTTATAACAGTTATTTTATCCCTAGTGGGATGAGTTCAAATTAGTTGTTTTCATACTCTAAACTCAAATCAGTGATATCCACATAAAAATTATTTTTCTTACTAAGAAAATTAATATTTGTGTGCGCCAATCGATTGAAATATTAGCAACAACCAACTGTGGGAAAGAACAAACCAGATTCCAGCAGAGGAAGAAATTAGGAAGAAGCGCTGGAAGTGGATAGGACACACATTGAGGAAGGCACCCAACTGCGTCACAAGACAAGCCCTCACATGGAATCCTGAAGGCCAAAGGAAAAGAGGAAGACCAAAGAACACATTACGCCGGGAAATGGAGATAGACGTGAGAAAAATGAACAAGAATTGGATGGAATTAGAAAAGAAGGCCCAGTACAGAGTGGTTTGGAGAATGCTGTTCGGCGGCCTATGCTCCATTAGGAGTAACAGGCGCAAGTAAGTAAGTAAGTACGCCAATCGATTATTGAACTACGTTCTAAAGAAAGCCTGCCAACTAATTGAAACCAAATAAATTAGCTTAAACACCGTAGAATATATTCCGAAAATTTTAAAGTGGTTTATCGGTGTTTGAGAAAGATTCAGTGCAAGTTTCGTTAGATTGTTGACAAATTCGGTAGAAACCTCTAATTGTTAAACACTACCGGTTCTAAATATTTCCCGGACTGTTGACTTTTAACGAAAACATACATTATTTTCAGACTAATTTATCAACTCAAAGAAATAATATTATTGAACAGTATGTGAATAACCTGTGATCATATACGCAAAATTTAATTCACCCAACAGAATTCTAGCAACGGTGTGTAAAATGTCTGTATTTCATGATAAATAAATTCACCTGTTCTTCTTCTTGCGAATGACGTTTGGAGTGGAGAAAAATAACTTCTGTTACCCTACACATAATTTGTTCACATATTATGGCAACTATCTTGCAATCAATTTCGATTATGTTTAATCCCTTCCATTAACTTACTTAACAGATAATGTTGTTTGAATAGTAACAATTCGCATATTTCTCTGTACCGTTATGGTCACTAGAGAACTTGACAGATTATAGCTAAAAATGTTAATATCTAAAATATTTCTAGATGATTCATCCACCTCCGCATGTATATATGTACTCAATTCATATGATTAGCTTTTGCTGCGCCCTTATGCAGTTTGATTATATATTTGCTCGTATATACTTATTCTCCCATCCACTTCAAATACGCTCGTAGCTTTGTGATCTGCGCTATCTGCTAATAAACTGTAGTTGCCGCTTCTCATTACCTTCTAATTTTAAACACCGTTAAGATTTATATTATAAAGGTTACCGATTATAGAAGCAAAGCCACTGCAATACATGTACCACTGATTAGTTGTTAAGTTCTGGTGTAGCGCTTAAATGATACGTATTCATACACTGTCGGGGGTCGAACCCATTACCTCCAGGATTTGCATCAACCATGGTACCAAGTTGTTATCCAACGATCTGCATTTCCAAACTCAGTCAGTGACCATTATTTCATGACACCGATGATGTCTATTCAAATCTGCACATGGCTGAAGTTCACTGAAGTGTCAACGGGATCATTTATCTGTGGAAGTTTGCATATTCAATGTACGCAAATGGATAAAGGTAGGCCACTGAAGCCTCCTGACAAAACTTAGTTCCTAAAGTGGAACATTACACTTCTACTGTCAGTCTTTAAAATCTTGTGACGGTCTTTTCTAAGACTAAAATCTCAGTTCAGATTAAATACATAATATCTTAGGAAGCGTTACCTAGTTTAACCAACGTGTGTACTAACCATATAAAGAAGTCTTGATATCAATTGTTTGGTCGAACAACTATAATATACACGTTAAAGCATTACAGCTACATTGAATTCCATATATTAAAGGGATAATCAGTCATGTATTTTAAGAAATAAATGAAAAGTCACTTTACGAAAGTTTCTGCAATCACTAAATCTCAATATTAGAGAATGGTGTTATGAATTCAAAGTGAAATGAGGACTTTAGTACTAAAAAAACTAACAAAATGAACATTCACAACTAAAGTCATTGAACGACCAAAATAACGACACAGATCACCTAACATAAATGTACTAATGTCTGGTCGTTCCACCTTAATTTTAATTCTAACCAATTTTCTTTATTCAAATTATTCTTATTCTCAGTAGTTAAACTATAAAATACCAATAATCTTTGAGCTTATTTTTTATTGTCAACTTCATTATACTGACCTATTTTCCATTTAGTTTATTTCAGAAAATTATTAATTGATCAGTTAAAATCTACTGCGTTTACTATATTGACCGATTTAATTGATTGGTTTCATGAGGGACACACCTAGAAAGTGACCTATCTCCCCACATTGAATACATTGTAAAGCCAGCCAGATTTCACACTGATCAAACGTTCGTAATCCCCTACTGTTGATATTCAGAACTGGGATTGATTATTCTGTTACCGTATGTGGATACTGAGTGGATGTTCTCGATAAAGCATTGTCACAAGTCTTAGTATATTTGATATGTGGTTATCATTGAAATCAAAGACGCGCGTTTCATCTAGTCTGGGGGTTATCAGCTAGAGGCAGTCAGTAACAACGTAGAACTTTGTACGTAATTACATCAGTCCAAGTTGTCATACCACATAAGCACAGAGATGCAGTTGTCGGCTCAAATCCCGCGGTGGTAGAGGTAGTAAGAGTATAAGCAGTAATCCGAAAGATTAGGATTTGAAGATGTTATTCATGGAGTATAATACAGTGAAATAAATTTGGGAAGAAAATAAGGGATGGGAAGAATCCAGAAGACAAGAATTCAGGAGAACACAAAGAGTGGATGCACCTGCGCCATCGCAAACGATTTTGAGCCATGTCATTCAGGGTCTCTAACCATCGGTTGCTATCGTCTCGCGGTCCCCAACCAGGTAGTCTACACCTACCAACATGGCTCAGTACACTTGTCAGTGACTTCATGGATTTGTGCCATGTTTTGGTCTGGCCACACCTAGCTTTCTTCCAACCTTCTCCTACACCATAAAACATCGCACGTCGGGGCAGTCGGTGGTTGAGCATACGTAACACGTGTCCCAGCCACCTCAACTGATGAAGTTTCACTACGTCATCAATTGATTTGCCATCCTTACCTAGTGCCCAATTTCAAACAACTGCGTTACTTACACGGTGGTCTCAGAATATACGAGCAATATTTCAAAGACATCTATGTTCAAATACTACTAACCTACGAGTATTCTCTACTCTTACCGGTCATGTTTCACTGCCATAAAGTAGGACGGAACGAGCTGCTGCGCAGTAAACCCGTCCTTTGGTTGGTAGACGGATATCTCACCTACGCCACAAGTGACGCAAGTTGGCAAAGGCTAGTCGAGCCTTTTGTATCCGTGCTTGATCTCGTCACACACCAGACCACAATGGCTGATGAGACTCCCAAGATAAGTGAAGCGGTTGACACACTCAACTACTTCATTCCCAATCATTAGTTCGGGTGTCGATGTAACCCAATCCTGAAGCAACATTTTGCATTTCGAGAGAGAGAATCGCATGCCGAACATGCTTGCATTGCTGCTTAGAGTGGTCAGAAGACTCTGGATTTTGTCAGCGTCTTCACCAAATAAAACTATGTCATCAGCATATTCTAAGTCAACAAGTAAACCTCCCGGTAGAAGTTCAACCCCTGTAAATTTAGACGAGGAAAGTGTTATCTCTAAAAGTACGTCGACGACAAAGTTGAACAAGAACGGAGAGAGATGATAGCCCTGACGAGCACCGCTTGAGGTAATCAATTCTGATGACAGTTCACCATAAGCTCTCACTCTACCAGTTGTGTTCGAGTAGAGAGCCTGTATAAGGTTAATGTACTTCTTTGGTACTCCTTTCAGTGACAAACACTGCCATAGAACCTCACGATCAACAGAGTCAAATGTCGCCTTAAGGTCGAGAAATACTACAATTGTGGGGCGTCTGGATGTGTGTCTATGTTCTAGAACCTGACTTAGTTTGAATATCTCGTCTATACAACCACGTCCAGCTCGAAAACCAGCCTGATTTTCTCTAGTCTGTTCTTCACGAGCTTTGGTTAGGCGTCGAAGAAATATTGAAGCTAATATTTTAGACAATATATTAGTCAAATTGATTCCTCTGTGATTGACACAAGAGGACTTTTGTCCTTTCTTATAGACTGGCACAATCAGCGATTGAGACCAGTCAGATGGGATTACGTCCAGTTCCCAAATTCTACCTAAGACCTCAGTTAATCCCACTGCTAATATTGGACCACAATCCTTAAAAATCTCAGGAGTAAACCTGTCACGGCCTGCTGCTCTCCCTCGCTTCAGATTTCCTATGGCTTTTTCAACTTCGTAAAGAGACGGAGGACCTACATTAACTTGCCATTCAGGTTGACTAGAGATCGTGGGAAACCGAAGTGTGGTTGAAGGCCAGTTGAACTGATCCCTAAATTGTTCTGCCCATCGATCCAATCTCCTG